GACGCGATGCAGGCCATGGTGGCCCTTATCCTCTCCTTCTCGCGGCAGGCCACTCATTCCCAGTGGGATTCATAGTCTGCCTGAGGAAAAGGAAAGAGATTCATTCTGGCTAATGGGACCGCGAGGATCCAGCCCCAGAGGACCCAAGCGCCTGGTGAGCCTGACCTATGGAGTCGCGGCAGACCGATCCGTCTGTCGGCCGAGTGCTGTCCTTCCGGGAGCGGTGGAGTGCAATGCGGACTGACATTGCCTCCTTCAACTCGCACGGGATGACACCCCAGTCGTTGAATCCGGATTGGTTGGAGTACGATCCGCTACCTGCCATGCCGGAGAAGGCTGAAAACCATCTGAGGTGATCTCGGATGGCGGAGGGGAGCCGTTCAATGGGACAAGACATTCTCGTCGGCTATGAAGACGTCTGTGATGACTTTGTCAATCTTAATATGATGTGCCGGCTTAGTCACCCAAAGGTCTTCACAGATGCCTTTGTACTCGCCGGAACGTCTCCTCGCACTAAACACTCATCATTGGAAAGACCAAAATAAATTCAAAAAAATGCAACCATTGATATCAAACTTAATACTTGAACTTTGTTTAGTTGGTTCCATCACAAGAAACCTAAACATATGAGTTATCTCAGTTTTCAATAGTACTCACATTTAATCATGTGAATGCATGCATGAACATCTCACACTTCGGAGCATCCCGACAGATTACCCCATCTCAGATCTTGAGATCGACGAGTTAATCATACTAGACAATACCCCGCGCGTTGCTGCGGGAATCGATTACAATATTTTTCAAAAACTTAGTTGTATGAAGCTTTCATTACTGAATTAATAATATATAAACTAAAGCTAAAGTTAGAAAATATTTTGAATATCTGTCATAATGTAATGGAAAACTTTTTTCCACGCATGTTGAATGGACTTTTAATGAGGTGGCATGTGTGGTGAGATGAAAAGTATGCATGAGATCAACTAATAATGGAAAACTTTTTCTCATGCATGTAGTGGTGGGCCTTTGATGAGGTGGCATGTGTGCATGTTGAGATAAATAGAATAGTGGGGATCAACTTCTTATGTATATAGGATACGCCACCTAGTCGATGGATGAGTCATACAATATGACCAAAAAGTATTTCAATCCAAAGATATTATGAACTCCCGTGTTAAATCCAGAAGTTAAAACCCGTGCGTTGGTTTTATGGCCACAAATATGACCATCTAAGTGCATCTCCAGCAGTGGCTATAAAAACACGCATGCGGTAAAAGTAGGTTTTAGCACGCGCGGGGTGGTTTCGCGCGCTCCAACGGGCACGGGAAATTCAGGCACACGGGAAAGGATCACGCGCTTGAAAAGGCGGTAGGACGCACGCTAGTTTTGGCGCGCGGCGTCCAGCGCGCGTTATAAAATCCAACGCCCTCCCGCGCCCTCCCATCGCTTTGTGCCTCACCTCCGCTCTCTCCCCGCTCTTTCTCGCATCGCAGCCGCCGCGCCACCGGGGAACTTCGGGCTATTGCGGCGTCCACACGCGGCCCTTCGGCGCCTTCTACGCCGAGATCTGGTCCGGCAAGATGCGCCTCGGCCTCAGCACTTTCGACACCGCCCACGAGGCCGCCCGCGCGTACGACGCGGCGACGTGGCGGCTCCGGCGGCCTTGTAGGGACATGAACTTGCCCGACGTGCCGACGCGGGAGCGGGCATAGGAGCTCGCGCCTCCCGCGCGGCTTTTCACCGACAAGGATCGTCGCGGCAACCGGAGGCGAGAGCGCCGTCTTGGCATCACCGAGATGAACGAGGAAGCCATGGCGCTATCGTGCCGATGCTTCCCACAGGACATCATCAATGAGTGCGAGTTCTACGCGCAAAGGAGGGCTGAGAGGAAGGAGAGGAGGGTGGAGCGAGCCGCCTATCGCGAGGACAGGCGTACGTGGAAGGCGGCTGCTCAATTCAACATCAAGCTAGGAGCAGCGTCGACCTGGGACTCCGACGACGATCGGTATCTTGACGCCTTCATTCAGATGTTGGAGGAGGACATCACCGAGTCAGAGGAGGAGGAGGACGACGACGACGAGGAGTAGTTGAACTATCTTTTTTTTGTCTATCTATGCTATGAACTATCTATGTATCTTTTTTTATTTATCTATCTATGCCTATCTATGAGTATTGAGTCGGAGCGAATGTGTATCGAGTCGGAGTAGAAAGAGAAGACATCGAGTAGTAAAAAAAATAGCGCTTTTGTTCGAGCGGCGCGCGCAATTTTTTGCAGCGGCCGCTGGAGCCAGCGCTCCACGACACGCAAAAACTAGCTATTCCGATACTGTAAACATCTTTTTAGCGCGCCAACGCGCCTGTTGGAAATGCTCTGAGGTATAATTGGTTCGTGACTTCTCCTCATGCCAAGTTGATTCCCGAAAACAAACATCCGTTTACTTATGCGTCGGAACCTATGTGGGGCGTCGACCCTATCGTCGGCATCGAACAGCTCCGACCTCGCCGTTGGCGGGGTCGCGAACAGCCGCCTGG